GTAATCTTGACTTCTTAAATTTAAAAGATGACTTCTTAAAATAAAAAAAATGCATACATTAATGTTCACTCTTCATGTCATAAAGTTCTGTGGATTTTGACAAATGCACAGTCTCATATATTCCCCATGAAGGCATCATACAGAATATTTTTCTTACTCTAAAATTTCCCTATATTTCATCTATTCAAACTTTCCACACCCCGTAAGACTAATTTTCAAATTACACTTTTCTTCTATCTAACCATCATTTTTCTCTTGGAATATTTTACATATAAAGGTGACCTACAGGTCAATTTCTGGTAGAGAAATAGTGTTAAAATGAAAAATCTTTCTAACTGAATGATCTTGTATTTGCCTTTATATGAGTAAGACCGAAGAAAATCTTCATGCTCTGTTATGATCAATACCAAAATACTTTGTTTGCTTTTTTGCATGTCTTTACTCTAAATAATTCTAAAATACTTAATGAATACTTTGAAACAGATGTGTTGGTCTATGAGTATTAGGTTAGGAAATAATGATAAAGAGTTACAACTATGCAGACTGCAGAATGCTAGTATTAGGGACTAAAATACAGCAGCCACCATATGTATTATTAACAACTCAGAGACCCATAATAAATTATCAAATTTCAAAGTAAAGCAGCAGATCAGAATCAGAAAGAATTCTGAAAACTAAACAAATGCTGATTCAAACATCTAGTTGCATAGGCACTAGGAAATCAATGAAGAACAGATGAAGAACAGAAAAAAAGGCAGCAGATCCTGTCCTATCTACCTAACCAGATTTTTCCCTCGGTCTAGAAGTCGTAATGTGCTTTGGGTTAGATTAAAAATCAAGTATCAAGTACAGAATCTGAGATTTGAAGTTGATAGTAGTAAGTAGTGTTGGAAAATGAGTAGTTGGGAAAGAAGACAGCTCCTGACTGGATATTAAATTCTATTATTTCATACTCATTTAGGAGAAAAAACTTACAAAATAATTTTGTAGCTAAGCTATAGGTTGAAAACCTGGTCATCTTCCTTTTTAATTCAATTAAATTCAATAAATATTTCTGGAATTGGTACTATATTTCAGAGACTGCCCTGAGTGCTGGGTATATAAGGATGCCAGTTGATGGTTTTTAAGGAGCTCATGGCTTCACGAGGAGAGGCAGATCAGAAAACATTGCTCTGGGTGTCAGGAATACTTTTCCTCACAGTAATTCCCCTCAGCTGAGTTTGGAGCTGTTACTCACAGTTCACCAGAAAGTTAGGACTGAGAGGAAGCAAGGCTATTCCAGTAAAATGGAGAGCATTGGCCGAGTCCAGCAGGTCAGGATGAAGGCACGTACGTATGAAGGGAGTGGTACACAGCCAACTATAGATAGATTTAGAATATTGTCACCATTTGGGGAAATTAGGAGAGAGGCTGAAAAAGTAGGATATTACTATGTTATGAAAGAACGACAGGCTATACTGAAGGACTTGGCCTTCATCTTGAAGGCCAGTGATCCACACTCCCTGGCTCCACCCCTAGAGATCTTGAGTCACATAAAGTGGGGTGGAGCCTCAAATTTAAAAGTATGGTAAGGATGAAGAAATTTTGCAGCAATGACACTTAGTAAAGCCTTATAAGTAGTACTGTTTTAGAAGTTTTCTATACTGAGACCATATTTTTTACTTTATATATTATGATTGAGAAATACGTTTAGTTTTGTAGGAAATATAAATTATTATTTTGTAATTGGTAGTATAAAAGGATATGTGTTTCTGTGTGTGTATAAATGTGTGCATATCACTATTCAGTTCCTTGTTGTTTGATTATGTGTGTGTGTGTGTGTGTGTGTGTGTGTGTGTATAAAATTTTAAAACTTTTGGTCCAGGGTGGAACTAATGAGAAGCTAATAAATGCATACTTTGTAATATGTAACTAAACTAACCTTTTATTTGACATTCATTTTTATTTTAAGGTCATATAGTATACTGTAATTAAGCACATTGCACCAGCCCATTCAATGAATCTTTATTCAAGCCTCACAAATTGAGAGAAATCAATGACTCCATATGACCAAATGGCTAACGCAAGATGTTTGGTATATGGCTATCAATTCAAAATCTATAATAGGTGAGAGACCAAAGCTTGTTGGTTTATATAGACATCTAGACCAAATTTTCTTTGTATTTTATTTTGGCTTTACAAATATAAGCTTTGACATTTGAATCTTCAATTCTTTTTGCACTACTATTTTTTTTTTTTACTGACACTAGGAAAATATGTCTGTTTACTGTAGAATAAATACGGTTTCCTTAAAACATTTTAAAAACATGCAAAAGTTCATGTTTTATAATGTTAGGAGGGTTTCTTTAGGTAGGAGTTCTGCATTTCAGAGGAGCCATATATGACACAAACAGTGCACAATTGGGAACACTAGCTGATAATGATATGATCATTTTTGGCAGGCTCTTCATGTAGTTCTGGCAGAAATGTAGTGATACATTAGTCATTTTCACAGAGAAGATACGGGTCCATGCCAGTCTCCTATTTGGGGTGCCATCTGTACCATTTTTGTCAGTAAATTCAAAAAGAAAATATATCCATTGATGGGTACTATTTCTGTTTTTTAATCATTGTTTGAGGCAAACTATACCATTCTTAGAATAAAACAATGAGTACACATAACTCAAATTGCTTCTGGGCATTCTTTACTAATGGAATACCCATATCAAAATTACTCCAACAAATTTTAATACTTCCTTTTAATTTAAATTGTCCACAATCTACTGTCTCTGGAGCTCTTCGTATATAAGAGGAGACAGTGAATTCTACTTTTTGTTTTATTAATGATGGAGCAACTCACTTGACTCTCATTGTTTTGGTTCCTTCATCTGTAAATATAGTAATAAGGACAAGCAGTATTTGAATAAAAAGGACTGTATTTCTGTTAAGGTTAGCAACAAGTAAATTTATTCTAAACCTAAATGTTGGTTGTAATGTATGGAGGCAGGCCATTCAAAGTTTGCTGACTTACTTTGACTAAATGTCTATGTTAATATTATAAATTTAATACAGATTATAAATTTGTTGAAGAGAAGGGTTGTATGTTATTCATGTTTTGAACATATTAAACACTCAATAGATATTCACTGTGCTGAATTGAAGCACAGATGGACTTGCTATAATGACTTAAGGGGATCTTCTGTTAAGGAGAGGAGTTAGCAGACGTACATTGGTATAAAATAGGATTGGAAAGAATGGTTTCTTACTGTTGATATTTTTGGTATGTATGAAAAGGAAACTATTACTTACCTTCAGACTGAATTCAGAAATGTGGTTTTGCTGAACTGGTTTGGGGTCATTACAGAAGGTGTTCTTCAGAATAATGAGTATTGCATAAATGACCAGTCCATAAATATAGTTGAATTTTCTTCATTCAACTACTAGTAGCTAAAGAGAAATAACACTTATTAATAATTAAAATCTATTGAAAGCTTGCTTCGCACAAGGCATATTAAACATTTTACCTCTATTACCTAATTTGATCCCTCAATTACCCTTTGAGATACATACAATTCTTATTTTCATTTTACCAATGGGTAAAATGAATCCTGACATATTTTAGTACTATCATCCTCCTTGCAGTGAATAGCTTTAAGATATACATCTTATTTCTATTACAGGTCCCTGAGTATAACTGTAGCTTGCTAATATGTATAAAAGGCCGCATTTTGTTGTCCAAATCTACTAGTGAGAGACCGGATGTTTTACCAGTTAAGAGTAGACAAAATCCTGAGATATGGTAATACCCCATTAATTAAGTATAATTGAGAAAACACTTTCTTTGATATTTTAGGCTGTAACAGCATAGCATTTCTAATCTTGTAGCTAAGACCTTCTACCTCATCTAAAGGGAAGCCCAGTTTCTGACTATTTGTGAATTCTTTAGATAACCCTGATGGCCAACTTCTTCCTCCAGCCTTAAGAATAAACAAATGAAAAATAAATGTATTAGATATGGTTTTCCAAATGCCTGGAGAGTAGTGTTTCTGTAGCTACCTATATAAATAGATGCTCCTTTGGTATGTGCAAATAATGGCCTCAGAGCACCTTGGGACTGGTATGAAATCTCACAAGAGATGCATTGTAGTACACCCTGTATATTCATTATAGCACATTTGTCTAGAAAGATGGCAGACAGAGACATCAAAGTAGTGAGTGTTTTGTTTGATAGGTTTTTAAGATGCCAAATGTCATTCCCTCATTCTGCCATGGCCACTCCCCCCAGTATATTTGCTATTGTTTAGAATTATGTGCAGTTGTATACCTAAGGATACTTTCAGCACATTTTCTCTTTGTTTCTCCAAAATGAGAGTAAAACTTGGAAGTGGTTACTCTTCCTTCTGAAATCTAAAGCCATATTACATATCCTATAATGGTGCAGTAAAATTATCCATACTCAGCATAAGCTACACCTTAGGTCAGAAAAATAATAAAAATTACTAAATCTTCACTGGGTATACTATCATTTTACACATTGTGCAAACTACTTTCGTAAAGTCGTTTTTTAATATTATGAAAGTGTCCACCGATAATTTATCAAAATTACCCTATAGTAAACAAGATGCAATAGCAAATTTTCCTTTGTAACACAGAAAATGAGTAAATGTACATTTAAAAATTCACTACCTTGCAAGCATGGGTCATTTTAAATTCCCCTTTTAGTAGGTAAGTCCATCTCTTCTCCATTGTTCAAAATTCCATTAACTCTGTGCTTCTTCCTTCATTCAGTAGCTCCTGAAAATTTTCCCTGTAGACCACACTTGAAAGAAAAAGGCCTTGCTTTTATTTCTGATTATGATTCTTAAGTCTGGAATGCATTTTGAAGTGAATAAGGAATATTTTTGTTGTTTAATCATGAAGTTGAAGAAATTAGGTTTTCCTGTCATGAAAAGCCTGTGTAATTTCAAGTGCTTGTGTGTCCTCCTCAAATATTTATGCCACCCAATTTATTTATCCATTAGGTTGGCCCTTGATCTGGATTTCCACCATCACATATCTCTTCATTCCTGATGTGTATCTGGCTTACACAAAAAACACGAGAGAACAAAAGATTTAAGAGAGAAGATGAAGTTTCAGAAGTGTAAGCATTCCCAGGAGACCTTACTTTGATGTTTTGACATTCTGTCTTCCCGAGGGAGAAGACAGGTTGAAGAGGGATATAAAGAATTTTATAATGTTAAATTTTTTTTTAAATGGTAGAAACTTAATGGGCCTCATACTGATACTCTGTAAGTAATACTCCATGTAATAATTATTTTTCCAAACATATTTCATTATTACTTAAATCAATCATAAAAATGTCTTAAGATTCTATGTTCAATTCCAACTTAAAAATAAATTACTATATATATAAGTGGAATATATATGGAAAATAAAAAAGAAATTACTATAGTTTCTAATTATCTTAAAGAATGTACTGATTTTCGGCCGGGCGCGGTGGCTCAAGCCTGTAATCCCAGCACTTTGGGAGGCCGAGACGGGCGGATCACAAGGTCAGGAGATTGAGACCATCCTGGCTAACATGGTGAAACCCCGTCTCTACTAAAAATACAAAAAACTAGCCGGGCGAGGTGGCGGACGCCTGTAGTCCCAGCTACTCGGGAGGCTGAGGCAGGAGAATGGCGAGAACCCGGGAGGCGGAGCTTGCAGTGAGCTGAGATCCGGCCACTGCACTCCAGCCTGGGCGACAGAGCGAGACTCCGTCTCAAAAAAAAAAAAAAAAAAAGAGTGTACTGATTTGCTGTTGCAGGAGGATAAGGTTAGAGGAAAATGATACTTGGAAAACTCGAAAGGATAATCTAAATTTTACTCTATTCTTTTAAAGATCCCAATCTGAAGATGATCAATCAATATAGTATAGTTACAGAATAATAGAATAGCAGACTTTTCATTAATAAATAAACTTTCTAAATTGCAAATATTGCCATTACTGACTAAATAATAATTAAATTTGTCATTATTGAAAATGTCATCATCACCTACACATTTCATAAATCCTTTGTGTGATTTCTCAAGACTGAAGTTAGTTTTAACTTACATGGCATATGTTTCTTTAGTGATTATTTATTTATTTATTTATTTATATTTATTTACTTATTTTTTGAGATCCAGTCTCGCTCTGTCACCCAGGCTGGAGTGTAGTGGCGCGATCTCAGCTCACTGCAAGCTCCGCCTCCTGGATTTACGCCTCAGTCTCCCAAGTAGCTGGGACTACAGGCGCCCGCTACCATGCCCGGCTAATTTTTTGTGTTTTTAGAAAAGACAGGGTTTCACCGTGTTATCCAGCATGGTCTCTATCTCCTGACCTCGTGACCCACCCGCCTCTGTCTCTCAAAGTGCTGGGATGCACCCGGCTACTGATTATTTTAACCCATGTTGAAACACAGAGGAATTTTTCAATGCGTGAAAATATGAGTCAAAAGAAAACGATATTGGAGAGTATAATGTTTTCGTACATTGAGTAATGACGATGAAAACTAGCTTATAAAAATTCAAACTACATTTTGTGTAACTATTCTACAGCTAGAATCTTGAGAATCATAGTACCCACACAGTGGGAGAGTACAAATGAGGAACTATGCAGACGTCTGCTATAAGAACAGAACAGCCAACACACTATATGATGGAAAGGAGCAAAATGAAGTACAGATGATAAGTGGTGCTTAACTTTATTAAGCCAAGTGAACACTATTACTGAAAGTCTGTATCTAACAAAGGCAAATTACTTTGCTGTAATCACGTTCATGAGCTGCCTTGTGGCTGCCAGTCAGGGCCTGCCACTCATCTAAAGGAAATGAAAGCCTTGGAAATGTTAATTAGATGTTACAGTCTGATCAATATTGAAGAACCTTTAATTTATAAGTTTCCACCATTTTCTTTGCAATGTCCTCATGTGTTTATAAGAACAAAAGCCATGGAATTGTGGCAACATTAAAAGGTCAGCCTGCTACATAAATTCCTTTGAAATCTTGACCTGTGTAGTCACATATATCTAAATGGAAATCTATCAGTTATCTCACTGGGAAATATTTCTAAAATATCAGTGAAGAATTAACTTGGCCTTACATCAGAAAATCTATTTCCTGATCATAGATGTTTCTTTAATTGAAGATAACATGTAATTTTGGCTTTATTTAGGTAGAACAATTCCTATTTGTGGTATTCTGGTAGAACCCTGCCTGGCGGTAAAATCAATAAAGCTTCACCCTCTACACTACTAAAATTCTTCAATTTGAAATTCTTTCCTACCTTTAGGTCACAAATATACAGCCATCTAGGGAGAGGTAACAGGTGAGGCTGCATTCTTCAACATTTTTAAGTATGAATGTGTTTATCAAATCCTTCTTCACAAGCACTTTGGATGAGACCTCAGAAGAGGTGGGCTTATAGAAAGTATTACTACTTCAGAGAAGGATAAAACAGTCTAAGAGGAGAATGTTAAATGTCTGAAACAACAATAGAATAACATAAGTTTCTGCCTATAACTTCCTTTCATTTTGGTAATATACATCAACATTCCTATTAAGAAAGCAATGACAGAACCTGTTAATAACAGATTATTTTATTGTAATTTATATGAATTAAAACACAAACTACCAATAATTTGTCTTCTACTTAGAGAACATGGGAAAAAAATTTTAAATCTCAATTAATGACTGGTGGAAAGTGGAGGGAAAGTTCAGATACACAGTTTCTCTTTTCTTCCCTTTGTTTGGGTTGACTTTTAGGTAGGTGCTTTAGAAGTGACCAAGAAAAGGTAGTTTTCTTACAAAAAAAAAAATGAGGCATAACAATTGATGTTTTGAGTCCCTGGGAATAGTTGTATGAAATCTTAATCAGGTCATTGGTGACTTTTACTATCAAATTTTTCTACAGCTTATAGAATTTCTGATTCACAACAAAAGTATCCAAAATTACTGCTTATTCTTGTTTTTCCCACATTTGAGCTTTTTAAAAAGGGTAGTTTATGCTCATTTTCTACACTTTTGTACCTTCTATTTACCTTAAATTTGCTGTGTTCTGGTTTCTTTCCCCACCACTCCACCGAAACTGCTCTCAGTAATGTCACTGTTGATTTCTAACTTGACAACTTCAATAGATGCTTTCAGTATCCTCTCTGTGACATTTGAAGCGGCTATCCCCTCCCTTCTTGATATTACCTCTTCAGTTCTATGACTCACTGTTGGTCTCATCTTCTCTTAGTTTTTTGCTACCTAAAGGATTAAATCTTAGGCTACCTCAGGGGCCCTTCTTCTTTCACTCATTACATTTGGGTATACTTTAGAATTCCATTTCTGTTCTTCATATTCTATGTATGTTCTTAGATGATTACCCATTCTTAAGACATGCCCACTATTTATATTAATTAGTTCTAATAATCCAGCAAACGGAGTCTGGAGGATCAGCTTCTCTAAGTCCAGAGGTGAAAACTGCCTGGGGAATGGAACCAGGGACAATGGAGAATAACAGCACACTGTCTCTATAGCCTGTAGCAGAGATTTGCTTCAACCCGTCATCTCCTTTCACTGACTATGTGCCAGACATTGTACGAAAAATTGTATATGGAAGGTTATATAAAATAAATCAAAATGTCATGATATTCTACTTGTCTCACATAAATCTACCCATAGCAGTGATTGAATAACCATTTGCTAATTGTTTGGGTCTACTAAATAGGTCATAGGAAGTTCATCTGGTCTAGAAACTTCCTAGTATTACTCAAGAATAATAAAAATAAAAAAGAGAGACAAGAGCAGATGCTGTTGTCGAGATCATGCCAAGAAAATGTAAAGCTTTGAAGCTTTTCATTTCCTGGTAACTACCACCATTACCTCTTCAGATTTCAAATTGAATGTTTGTCAGTATTAAGTCAAAGAGACAAACTGTTCATGCTACAAATTCATCGTATTCTATAGGTGTACATGACAAATGCATCTGAGAATGGTATCTTCAGGATAAACCTTTAGGCAATTAGCTTTAAATAAATTATTTTGTTGGTGTGTTACGGGACCCTCACTTAATGAAATTCATAGGATGTGACCACTCAGATTATATTCTTCAGTGATCTATGGATCAGCGTATTACTGTGGATCAATATGACTAAGTTACATGTTTCCCCAAAGACCTGTTATCTCTAGGGTGCAGTTAATTTAGGAAAGAAAATACTAAGGGATTAAAATATCAGCTTTCCCCTGGGGCCTGAAATAAATAAAACAGGTAGTAATACTATTTCTATTTTAAAGTATTGGAATATAATAGATACGTTTTCTCAAAAAATTGTACCCTACTACCTAAACTTTCCCTAAAGTGTACCCTATTCTTAGCCATTCTGTCTATGAGCTGTGCCTCATAGCAACTATTGTCCTGCTGTGTACCTGTGACTATCTGGACCAGAAAAGCTCAGAAGAGAAGTCTGCAGAATTGGAAAAGAATTAAAACAGAAAGACAAAAAATAAACAAGAATTAGACAGCGTGTGTCCCAGTGGCCTTCTTATTGATTATTCAAGTCTTGTATGATACCTGGATCCTCTACCCTGAGTAGTGTTTAAGATAGCATTGTATTTTTGCAATAAAAACCCTGATATTTTGAATGAATTTGTTTTGGAATGTGTGGCCTACTATTTAAGTGCCAAAATCCCCATTTCATCTGGGAACAATTTGTTCCTACTTTCAGAAAATATTCCTCTTCTCTACTTCTCAATTTTACTCTAGGTGTACAACTTCTGTGGAAAGTGCTATATTTTTACATAAACCATATGGTCTGGCTATAATTGATTATTGCTAAGTCTGGACCAATTTCAGTTCTTACCTAGTATTTTTGAATCATGAAGCAGGGAGAGCATTAGACCATTGTCTCTCCAGAGACAAATTTTTTACATATAAAACTTGCAAAAATGCAAGCATGTTTCCTGTTTTCTGTAGTAAAACACTGTAAAGTCAACACCTTGATGCGCAATACAGG